GGGGGGGGGGGGTATTTGGATTCAAGGGGTTGGTTGGGCGTGACCCGGTGCGGTTTCGGGTGTTGTCGAAAAAGAGACAGGTACAGAGCACGCTCAACTTCTTGACTGTAGTGATGAGCTGCGGGCTGCACACTTGCCGGCCATTACCTAGGGATTCGTGCGCTAGGGGCTGGGGTGAGGGCTTACGAACCGGGACTTTGGAGCACATGCTTTGAAATGAACCTGCTAGGGACAGCCGCGCTGTCTGAACTAACTTCCGGCGCCAAATTTTTGGCCCTAAATTCGCCTCCTGCATAAGCTCGGGCCTCACGCGGCCCAGGCAACAAGTGCGAGGCTGGAAACAGGGTCAGGGGTGTCCCGGAGCCTTTTCAGACCTTGGGAAGTGGAGCTGGAAGACGGGACGACAAAAAACCGGAGAGCGTGGCGTCTGTGTCTCCAGGTGAAGGAGAGTGGAGGGCCTCTTTACCTTGGGAAGGGGCACGGCGGGAAGACGCCTCTTAGATCCGCAACTGCCGAGGATGGGGTTTCCAGTCCTGGGGCAGTGTCTGGCTCTCCGCACCCCTGCCCGGGGAAAAAAGGATGCCCTCCTTTCGAAACCTACTGGTTTCAAGCACAGAGAATAATACAGTCCGGTGGCCAGCCTTTTCCACTAGGAAACCGCCGTCTGGAACTCATCTCCCAGGCGGTGCCCTAGTCGGGCGAGGTCTTTGGCATCCTCGGCATCTGTTTGCTATTTATCGGATACTTCTGGGAGAGTTCCGCGTCCCGTGAGCCGAGTTCCCAGCCTGCAAGCATGCACTCGAGTGAATTGAGAATGGCTTTGCAAATACTCAGGAGGTGCTGGGGAAGAGGGAGGGGAGGTGATTAAAGATCCTGCTGCTGGCCGATGATTTATTTGAGGGTATCCCGTCTTTAGACTCCTTCAGTTTTTTTCAGAATGAAGAGAATTTTTCCGTCGCAGCCATAAAATGGGCTTCGCTTTTCTGCCTGGAACTCTTATCTCCATTCCAATGAGGAAACCCTTCCACCTGAGGTCAGAGACAGGGTAAACGAAAGTGATTCTCCTGGGAGATGTGATCTTCCCAGTTCCTCGAACTGAAGTTAATCACATTAACAAAAAGACTTCTGGAACAAGACAGGGAGGAGAAAGGAGACAACACCAGGCTCGTGCAGATCGTTGTGCTGTAATCTGTGGACCAGTCTCTTTTTTTTTTTGCGGTACGCGGGCCTCTCACTGTTGTGGCCTCTCCCGTTGCGGAGCACAGGCTCCGGACCCGCAGGCTCAGCGGCCATGGCTCACGGGCCCAGCCGCTCCGCGGCATGCGGGATCTTCCCGGACCGGGGCACGAACCCGCGTCCCCTGCATCGGCAGGCGGACTCTCAACCACTACGCCACCAGGGAAGCCCGAAATTTTAATTTTTTTGAATGGGTAACATATTCATAAGTTTCAAAAACTGAAACAATATGAAAATTTATATCTTGCTTCCACTACTTCCACAGTTAATAATTTTCATAGTTTTTTTGTATTCTTTCAGTATTTCCTTATGCAAATCAAGCAAATACAATTATATAGCTTTGTGTGTCTCCTCTTTCCTACTTAAAAAATAGTATACTAAATATGCAATTCTGCACCTTGCATTTTCATTTAACAATATATCCTGGATGTCTTTCCATATCAGTCCACAGATATCTTTCACATTCTTTTCTGCAGCTGCATGCTATTATATTGTTTATGTACATACCATTGCAAAGATTTCCCCAGTTTGGTTATTTGAAAGGATTCACCAGCTTTCACAGAGTATTTTCATTTAAGCTTTTATTTAAAGGAAAAGAGTATGGTGCAGTGAGAGAAAAAGAATACAGGCAAGCATTGGAAGTCAGAGAGACATCCCAAGTGCAAGCTCCCCAGGGGCCCTTATTTGCATGAGTGAGCCATGCTATGTCACCAGCTTGAACCACCAAGGTCTGTGAAAGGAATCTTGTTTACAGAAAGCTCAAAGGAGAAACTCTTAGGGAGGCTCTTTAAATAATCAAGCCAGGTTAGTCAGACACATAAATCCAGTTGTAAACCATCAGTAAAGAAACTAACCCTAGGGGTCTCCGGGGAAAATTTCAGACCTTAATCAGCACATCATAAATTGATCAAGAGTCAAAAACCATATATCCAGAAGGAAGGCAGAGCCAGGATCACTGAAAATCTTCTCCTCCATGAAACCAATGTGAACACTGGAAACACTGTCAGAATTAACTATTTCAGAACTCAAGAAAGTAACCAAAATCTTGCAGCAATTAATGGAGTGTTTGTTCAAGAAAAATAGCCAAATCTCTGTAAAAAATCAGTGAGCTTTATGGCATTTTAACTTGCTTTGTTCTCATTTTCCTCTCCTCAGTTCTGCAGTAGACTTAAAAATCAACAGCCTGGTATTGTGAAAACAGCAGTCTGGCAGGCACTTAATGAAGCATAAAAGTGTTAAATTCCTTTAAAGCCTCATTCTGAGAGAACTGTCATTATTTGAACTAGCTGGTGATTCCCTGGAAGATGCTACTCTCATGGCTGTATTTACTGACCAGATTCAGAGTTGACGCAGTGCAAACAGTCTTTCCCCAGGGGTACTGGTTGAAAACAATCATAGGCAATTGTTTAACTTTGCAACTGCCTGGAGTGGGCAAATAATTGAGGCAAACACTAAGCTCAACAGAAAGCTTAAAAGGAAAATTTCAGGAATTAGATATCTATAGGGGGCTTTGAAAAGCTCTCACATATTCCAAAAATCTAGAAGGCCACATGCATGTATACAGCTATGCACACGACTAAGGCTGTACACATGCTCAGAAAAGAACTTAGAAGACCCTAAACTCTCACATCTAGATAATCTTGAGGCACTGCTCAAGGCAGATGTGAAGACTATGGCAGAACTGTCAACTGCCTGGATGTGTTGAAGGGGTGCCTCAACACACACAGAGAACCCCTTGGCAAAAACTGGGAAACTTACTGATTCTAGGCATTTAAGGAAACCTCTGTCTAACCATTAGCTGACCAATAAGCGAACTGAACATAGACATCAGTGGCTACTATAGCAAAGAATACAGACTTTACTGAATTAGTTCAGAAAAGTCTTTAAGCAAACAAATGACAACAACAACAAAACCTGAAGAAGCAAGAAAATATTTTTTTCAGAGTTGTCACATTATTTAAAATGTTTCCAACGAAAGAAAATTATGAGAAATGAAAAGAAACAAGAAAGTATGCCCATACACAGCAGAAAAAACAGTCAATAGACAATGTTCCTAAGGACTTTGAAACTTTGGCTTTATGAGACAAAGACTTAAAATTAGCTATTTTAAATATGTTAAAAGAACCGAAGGAAAGCATGTCTGAAGAGCTAAAGGAAAGTATGGGGACGATATCTCATCACATAGAGAATATCAATAAAGAGGTAGAAATTCTAAAAACAGGACCAAATAGAAATTTTGAAGTTGACAGTACAATAACTAAAATAAAAACTTCACTGGAGGAGCTCAAGATCAGTTTTTAACCAAGAAGAAGAAAGAATCAATGAAATTGAAGATAGGTCAACTGAGATTGTCCAGTTTGAATAACAAAAAAAAGAAAAAAAAAAAAAAAGAAGAAGAAAAATGAACAGGGCCTAAGAGCCCTGTGGGATACCATCAAGAAGACCAACATATGGGAATGTAAATTGATACAGCCACTATGGAGAACAGTATGGAGGTTCCTTAAAAAACTAAAAATAGAACTACCATATGACCCAGCAATTCCATTACTGGGCATATACCCTGAGAAAACCATAATTCAAAATGGGACATGTACCACAATGTTCACTGCAGCTCTATTTACAATAGCCATGACATGGAAGCAACCTAAGTGTCCATCAACAGATGAATGGATAAAGAAGATGTGGCACATATATACAAAGGAATATTACTCAGCCATAAAAAGAAATGAAATTGAGTTATTTATAGTGAAGTGGATGGACCTAAAGTCTGTCATACAGAGTGAAGTAAGTCAGAAAGAGAAAAACAAATACTGTATGCTAACGGTATTTTATTCCATATATATGGAATTCCATATATAAACGGTATTAGATTCTATATATATGGTATCTAAAAATAAAGGTTATGAAGAACCTAGGGGCAGGACGGGAATAAAGATGCAGACCTACTAGAGAATGGACTTGAGGACATGGCGAAGGGGAAGGGTAAGCTGGGATGAAGTGAGAGTCACATGGACATGTGTACACTACTAAATGTGAAATCAGTAGCTGGTGGGAAGCAGCTGCATAGCACAGGGAGATCAGCTTGGTGCTTTGTGACCATAGAGGGGTGCATATGACCCAGCAATTCCATTACTGGGCATATACCCTGAGAAAACCATAATTCAAAATGGGACATGTACCACAATGTTCACTGCAGCTCTATTTACAATAGCCATGACATGGAAGCAACCTAAGTGTCCATCAACAGATGAATGGATAAAGAAGATGTGGCACATATATACAAAGGAATATTACTCAGCCATAAAAAGAAATGAAATTGAGTTATTTATAGTGAAGTGGATGGACCTAAAGTCTGTCATACAGAGTGAAGTAAGTCAGAAAGAGAAAAACAAATACTGTATGCTAACGGTATTTTATTCCATATATATGGAATTCCATATATAAACGGTATTAGATTCTATATATATGGTATCTAAAAATAAAGGTTATGAAGAACCTAGGGGCAGGACGGGAATAAAGATGCAGACCTACTAGAGAATGGACTTGAGGACATGGCGAAGGGG